TAGGGGTCGTCGACGCTTGCCAAAAGGGTGCGAGCCCGGCGGAGTGCCGCCCCTGGTGACGCCATCGCCAATGATGGCAATGCTGTCATCCAGACTGAACGTATTTGCGCTTGCCAAGCGTCCCATCGGGGATGAGACCCTACCGCGTCGGGCACCCACTCCACCCAGCATCCTGACTGACAGTTCAAAAAAAAAAAAAAAAAAAAAGCACACACCCCAAAGCTAATTAGACAATAGAGCACAGCACGACAACGAAAGAGCTTACTGTCTCTTATAGAGAAAGCCCCTTCCGGAGATCAACGCTTGAGTATCCGAAACATTTCTCGATAATAACCACACGCACAATGCACTGCACTAGCAAAAGCCTTTCCGTTAAGCATCAGAATATTTGGAACTGGACTGGATTGATGTATCTCCTATTTAGGCACTGGCACGATCTGCATGTGGCATCGATTCGAGCCAAACATCTGAAACACGACCGAAGCTGGATGCATTCCCGGGCACCTTTCGGGCCCAACTGATGCCCTGCCACCTGTACAGCAAGGCAAGCAGACTTGCCTAAGCCCCACACACACACACACACACACACACACACACACACACATACATAGACAGAGACTTGCGCATATACGCAGCTCACTTTGATGATGACAATAGCGAACAGATGATGGTGATGATGCGAGGAGGATGACGTGCTCGATAGCATCGAGCATATGCGCATTAATTAGTTGGTGTCTGGAAATGCTTGTGCTACTTATTTGATGCGGCCCGAGTGTAAGACTTAAGCTGAAGCTTTAATTAAAGCCAGGCGATAAAACGAAGGACAGCCTGACAAGTTGTCAAAGCGAAGGTTCAAGATTCCGCATTTAAATTATATTTATGGATTACTTACCAATTTAGTTGCTGCTCCACGTCAAACTGGCCCTGCCCGAACGGACCAAAGAGCTATTGCTCTCCTCCCGCCCACTCTCAGCCAAAGGGCTCGAGGATAAAGGAGTTTGCCCACATGCAAACTCACTCGGATAACTCAGGAGCACTTCTCTCTCCATCTCCCTCTTTCTCTCTTGCTCTCTCTATCAGCAATGCCCGAGCTTACTTACAGCAAAAGCTACCTCTTTCTTACTCTGTCATGCCAACAGTTCTGCTGCCTGTCTCTCTTACCTCTCCCTCTCACATCCTCCCTCTCTCCATCTCTCACTCTTCCTTTCAGTAGCACCCGGGCCTACGTCCATCAACAGGAATCTGTCTCACTCTCTCACCTTCATCAATAGTTTGCTAACACGTAAACTCGCTCGGATAACTCAGGAGCACTACTCTCTCTCTCTCTCTCTCTCTACAGCAACAGCTACCTCTTTCTTACTCTGTCATGCCAACAGTTCTGTAACAGCAGCAGAGTCTGCTGCCTCTCTCTCTCTCTCTACCTCTCCCTCTCTCCTCATTACATATCCTCCCTCTCTCCATCTCTCACTCTCCCTTTCAGCAGCACCCGGACCTACGTACATCAACATCAATCTCTGTCTCACTCTCTCACTTTCATTAAGTGTTTTCCAACACGCAAACTCACTCGGATACCCTATACTCTCTCTCTCTCTCTTTCTATCAGTAATACCTGGGCCTACTTACAGCAACACCTACTTACCTCTTCCTCTTACTCACATGCCTACACTACAGCAGGAGGCTCTCCTTTGCTACTTATTAGCAACAGCTATCTCTATCTCACTCTCTGATTCCTACACCAGAGACTCTGCTGTGTCTATCTTACTCTATCGCTGGTATTCCGCTGCCTCCAAAAGCCAAACTGATGATGGCTCCTGGCAAACCAAGTGTGTAAATCTTCATCCAAGCAGTATTTTTTCACAAACATTCAGGAGTACCGGCAACAGGCTAATTGAGCTATATGGGATCTACAATAATGCCTATAAAATGTAATATATGACCTATTGTCGTCTGTGATGCCTTTTTCATACATTTACAGCTAACTTTTCTGTTCCGACAAAGAAATATCCTGAATGCCGAAACTCACATATTGCTAACCGATCCACAAAGCTAAAATTCATTTCAGTTTTCCACAAAATAAACACACATACAATATACAGACAAAAAAAAAAATTGGGTGGTTTATTCGACTATGTACAATTTGTTGGACAGTGAATAGAGGTGAATAGAGCATAGAGCATAAAGTTTATAGAGCAGCAGCTGGGGGTAATTTAATCCATTTCCTCGTCCTCCACATAGTCCCACATGTCGTTGGGCGCGTCATCTTCAAAGCCAAAAATGCGCTCCAGATCCTGGTCGGCGTCGGAGCTGGTCGCATCCGCAGTGAGCAGATCCTGCTCCGGACAGGAGCTGCAGCGGCTCTCGTTGATGCCGTAGTTCAGGCAGTGGGCGCCCACGCACTCGCAGCAGCCGTCGTGGAACCAGCGATAGCTGTTGGCGCCCATGCTCTCGCACTGCTGCTTGCACTTGTTCGATCGGATGCACGAGTTGACATAGATGACGGTGCAGTTGACGGTGTCCGCCGGCCGGCTGTGCCGGGGCAGGCTGATCAGATTGGACTCGCCCTCCATGCGCTGCTTGAAGCCGACGCGCATCGGTATGCGTATGGTCGACCACTGGTCATCGTCCTCCGCGGTCAGAGTATCAAAGAGCTCGGGCACACCGTCCACATCGCCGATCTCCGAGCGCAGCGTCATCGCGGCGGACACGTCCTTGTGCTTGGGGCACATGTCCAAGCAGCCACAGCACTCCGTATACAGCTCGCCCAAGCAGTTCAAGCAATCCTTGCAGCAGTGGCAATCGTTCAGCTTGCACTGGCAGCTCTGGGTGAGCAGGCACTTGGACACTACCGAGCCGCAGACCATTTCGTTGCAGCCGTCGTCGTTGGCGACCACCGTCGAACCGAATCCAATTATTATTAACACCAGCTTCAGCATAACTGCAGCAATCGAGGCTCAAACGCACAATGATGCAATGTTGGATATGGCGACTCGGCTATATATCGGCCCGCCCGCACACCTGACCTGATCAGGGGCAGGTAGGGGCACGGACTGGGCCAGGGGCAGGGACGGTGTGGCCACGGGCTGTGGCTTTGCTAGGTAGCGGATTAGCTAGCTGGTCATAAAAGCAATTTAAAACAAGTTAAGCCAAGGATCTGTTGCACTAGGTAAGAAGGGATCGAAGGGAGCGAACCCACCGCAGGGCGGTAGAGGTAGCTCTGGTAGCGTTGCGTCTATCAGGGGTTATCACAGCAGTTATTTAATTCAAATTGAATTTGCCATTTGAATCGGGCATACATTACATTGCAAGGACACGCACACACACACACACACACACACACACACACACACACACACATGCACACACACTGGCACACATCATGAATTAAATAATAAAAGCCATTATCCAATCAAGAAACTTTGCGACGTCGGCATAAATGATATATTGAGTAGTACAGCACTGAGCTGAATCGCTGCTCAGATTCTTGTCGCTGGGCAGAGCAGCCGAGACGGTGCCGCGCAGCATCCAGCGATTGTTCCTGAGTATCATCAGGCCGGCACCAGAGATGCCCGTACCAGCTCCGCGCCTCTCTCTGCGCTCCCTGCGTCCACCGCCCCGCTGGCCATCCAGCAGGAATCCCGCACAGAACGTGCGATTCGACGAGAGACTGCGAAAGTGCTCGTTCGCCTTGAAGCAGTCCGCATTGGACACTATTGGCGCCTTTACCACAATCGGTATAAACTTCGCCTCAGCTGCGGATGCCGGACTCTTCGAGATCGCCGTCGCATTTCTGCTCCTGTCGAAGCTCCAGCCAATCACAATGCCATGCTCGCCCACGATATACTCCATTTTGCTAGAGCCCGACCAGAGGCAGACGGGCTGTATGAATGTATTAAAGCTGAAACGAAGAAATTATATATTTTATTTTTCCATTTTTTATTATAACAGCAGAACGCGAGGATGGAATAGACATCAAGAGAAATCATTTTGCTGATTAGGGTTACGAGTTTAGTGGACACAGATATGTCCATCTGGCTCCATGTGGTAGTCCCCGCTAATTATTCCAATATAAACTCATCTCGTATGCCAATTATTAATTAAGCATAGAACTTGAACAGTAGATGAATTAGATGTATCCAATTCACTCCTAAATGCTGCATCAATGGAATTGCCATCATCCATCATTCCAAGAGACATAATAACATTATATGGGTGCGTTTGCCAAAGATCAGGAGTCTAATATTATTACTGTTCTTTGCAACTTAGAGGTAAGGACGTAATATCCTAAACCTATGATCTCTCAATGATCAAATCTTTGGATCTACAGCGCCAATAGTATTAAATTTATGCTGGAATAAAAATTCAAACTAACCATTTATGAGTTATCGAAAAAAAGTTGTTTTTCTTGTAGTACATTCGAGTATACTTTCCACATTTCAAGTCTCTAGCTTTTGTGGCTTACGAGATCTCAGCGTTCATACACAAAAACGAACTTCTGTTACATACGCCTCGTTTTCCTGTTACATAGATTTTAACGAAACTATTATTCTCTCATTTTCCTCCAATACATGCAGTATTGGATTTCGAATACCTTCCCGCTTGTCATTTAAAATTTTCAAATGAAATTTAATATACAATCGGCAATCGAGCATTCCAGAACTGAAGTCAACTACAACTATCAGAGTAGGGGAGCTGCAGGATTAGGAAGCACAGCTTGAGTTCTTTGTGTGGGTGCAAGTACAGAAGTACAGAAGCATAGGGTATATCCTAGTCGAATACTCCCAAGTAAATTCTTACAGTGAGGACAGAGTAGAGAGAGGCAGTGAGAGAGAGAGAGGGAGAAAAGAGATTCCACCACTTACCGCACTTCATTCTTGAGCAGAATGACAGCGATGTCCGCGTCGTAGTTGCTCAACTGCCCGTTGTAGTCGGAGTGTATATAGATGCCGTCGACGGGCGCTGCCAGGGAGCCATCCTCGTTCCAGTTCTTCAGGTTGTGCCTGCCGAGAAAGACGAGCACCTCGTTGGCCGTGTAGCGCTGATTGAACATCTGGAAGCAGTGGGCCGAGCTGATGACGACTCGGGCCGAGACGAGCGTGCCGCCGCACTGGTAATTGAGGGACGTGAGATTGTTGACGTATATCGCCGCCAGCCAGGGCCAAGCGCCGCGCGTTAGTGATGGCAACATCGTATTGCCCGTCGCAGTGCCTTGGCCGTCCACGAGCACGATGGCCTCGTCCTCATCCTCGGGCGACTCATCCTCGTCGTAGTCCGAGTCAAAAACTGGCAGCTGTCCGGCCGGCTCGGCTGCGAAGCGAGGTGCGGCTGGAGCTGAGGGAGCGGAGATCATCTTGCGCTGCCTTCGCCTGGGCAAGCGAAAGTCGAGGGCCTTATCAACCCTGCCGCAGACCTCGCCCGGCGCATGGAATGGCTTCCTGCAATGACATAGGGACACATATATACGTAGCGGAGCACACGCCCAATGCATACTTCTTGAACTGAGTGGACGGCTGAGTGGGCTGCTTCGGATGGCCGGAGGACTCCAGGCCGAACTCTCCCTCGACTGACGGCGACATCGCAAGGCCCGATGAGCTATTATCGGCTATAAAGGTTAGCTTTCGCGTGTGCTCCAATTGAATCTGAGTCATAAAGATGCTGTGATCTATAAATGGAATGCAAACGTTATTCCACACAATATGTAGAGAGACGAAAATCTCGAATCCAATTTACCGGCAGATCCAAAGCAGATGACCTGATTGTTGACCGAGATGAGCACCAGCTTGGGTGGAAAGTGATGTTTGGGAAAGCGGATCTTGTAGAGCACCGGCGCACTGCTCGTAAACCTGCCCCGAGTCAGCAACTCGATTTCGCCCAGGTAATTCTGAAAGCAGAGCAAACTGAGTCCGAGTCGACACCGTTCGATTGCTCGATCTTGAAGCACCCACCGTGGTCGGCTTGCCGCGCATGGAGAGCGTTATGCGGATCTGTAGCGCCTGGACGTCCGGATTTCGTATGGCTGCCAGACCGAACCACTCGCTGCCATCGAATCGGTATTGAAAGACCTTCGGACATGGACTCACTGGCATGCCCTGGGCCAGAGCCTTAGTAAATTGCTCGATGCATATCAGCAGAATTGTCGTGAACTGCATTCTCATCTTCACCTGTTCGTATTTATCATTCGTCTCTCGCATCTCGCTGTTCGTGCACACACACACACATTTGCACCGGCACATCCATATGCATTAGGGTGGCTCAGTATTGTACATTGGATGCGCTTGCGGTTTCAATTTAACGAAAATTGTGATAGGCTCTATAGAGTTATTTCGACACTTTATAAGTTCCCATCATTAATTTGTATAACCAAATAAATAAATAAATAAAAAATTCTTTAGATGACCCAATATCGATAGTTTATAATATTTTATTAACATGTTCATCAACAATAATTAATTCATATTTAATTTTATTATAGTCATTTTGCTCTTTCTGATTTAATATAAGCTCCAGTAACTAATTGTTATGGTTAAATAAATGATCTTACCAATTTTTTAGGAACCAATACCGATAGTTCCTCATTTATTATATTTTTATCAACATATCTTTTATATGCAATATTTATTATAAACTTAACTTTCATCTTAGACATTTTTCAATCGACTTACAGCTCTTTCAAAATTTAACTAAGGTTCAATATAGTATCAATAGTAATTCCAATAGTATTCACAGACATATTTAATAATAAATACATATTTTTCTCCAATATGCCTTAGTATCAGAAACTTAAATTGTGTAAAGGGAATCTATGAAATATAATAATAAATATTTATAAGGTAAATTTTTAACACTTCACATAGTTTGAGCCACCCTAATATGCCAGCCTAACTAACTATGCTTGTGTATGTATGTATGCGATTGCAAATTCTATTATCTATGGACCGCGTGCTTTGTTCTTTGTTTACGTTTTGACCCCAAAGTGTAATAGTCATACATACATGTATGTACATGTATATGTATGTATGTACATATGTAGATATGTATGTTTTTATGTTACAGAGATCATTATCTGGTTGCTCATTTATTGTAATGGATATACACACGTATATATGTACGCATATGACACGTTTCATACCCTGTACAAAATTTGCATATGAATACAAACGCCTCTATAATCAAGTATTAAATAATATTAGTAATAGGAAAATAGGAGTAGTATTAGAATAACAGACTTGATTTTGTCAGAGTCGTAATAAGCTTGGAGTAGTTGTAGTAATAGTAGTAAGAGCTATGGTAACTACAGTAACAGTAAGAGTAAGAGTTGTGTAGAAGAGGAGTAGCAGAAGAGTAGAAATAAGACCACAAGTAGTAAAACAAAAGAAATGAAGTAACATCAATAGCAGAGTATGAGTAGATATAGAACAAAAATAGTAGCAAGCGAAGGGTATAAAAGGAACAGAATTATAGTAGAATAAGAAAAGTATTAAAAGAACAAAAGCTATAGTAGGGTAATTCTAATTGTAGAAGATAGAAATAGAGTAAATCTTACATAGAACGAAATCATGACAAAAGTAGTACAGCTCACTGCTCTAGTTTCTGCTCAGAAATAGTAGTAGAGCAAGATAAGAGCTAGAGTACAAGTAGAATACGAGCAGCAGTATAAAGAGGGCAGATGTGGACTAGCGTAGTAGTATATGTTGATGTAGAGTATGAATAGCAGTAGATTTATAATAGTAGTAATTTAAATGAACAATAGAGAGCGAATAGTAATACTCAGTAAAGAATAATGGAGTAGGAACAGTAGATAGAGTAAAGCATGAATATTATAAGAGTACTAGCAGTAATATAATTCTATAGAACGTATACAACAGAAAGTAATATAGTACTATAGAAAGAGTAGCAGTTGAGTAGATGTTGAATAAGGGCAGAAGTAGTAAATTGAGAATGGTAGCAGATACCGAACAAGAGTAGTAATAGCAGTAGCACATTCGAACGACATGAATAGTACTAGCAGATTCCGAAATGAAGTAAGGAAAAACTAGTAGTAGAATAGAAAGGTTGCAATAGAATAGAGAGTATGAGAAGTATAGTAGAACAAGTACTATAGAAAGAGTAGTAGTCGAGTAAGAGTCTTAGGCACGAAAAAG